GGAATAATGTAGATCATATGTGATTTAAATTAATGGACATGTTCTACGTAAATATATAAAGTCTTATTAGAGAAATATCATCGCTTTACGTAATACATTTTGTGATTTGCATCTTTGTGGAAATGTTTGATGATACAACACGAACGTTCTGACGTGTGAATCGATCGGACGAAGGCAACAGTATAAAAAGGAGGTCACCGATATACGAAAGCGCGTGTTCTTCAGTAGATAAAAATATATTCTCACTGGCATTGCTCTTCAATTATCACATATATATAAATGTTTGAAAATTTATAAATTTAGTGAATTATTGGGTTAGTGCACCATCCCATCTAGATTTTGAGTTTGTTTCGATCACTTTGGATTTCATCCGCCTCCTTGGCTTCGAAATTTAGATCCTTAGCATCACTGACGAGTCCTAGAAGGACGAAACAGCTGTATGATGTAGCATCACTGACGAGACCTACAAGGACGAAACAGCTGTATGGTGTACCATCACTGACGAGACCTAGAAGGACGAAACAGCTGTATGATGTAGCATCACTGACGAGACCTACAAGGACGAAACAGCTGTATGGTGTACCATCACAGAAGAGTCCTAGAAGGACGAAACAGCTGTATGGTGTAGCATCACTGACGAGCACCAGAAGGAGGAAACAGCTGTATGATGTAGCATCACAGGCGAGTCTTAGACGGACGAAACTGCTGTATGGTGTAGCATCACTGACGAGTCCTAGAAGGACGAAACAGCTGTATGATGTAGCATCTCTGACGAGACCTACAAGAAAGAAACAGCTGTATGATGTAGCATCACTGACGAGACCTACATGGACGAAACAGCTGTATGATGTAGCATCACTGACAAGTCCTAGAAGGAAGAAACAGCTGTATGATGTAGCATCACTGACGAGACCTAGAAAGAGGAAACAGCTGTATGATGTAGCATCACTGACGAGGCCTAGAATGACGACACAGCTGAATGATGTAGCATCACTGACGAGCACCAGAAGGAGGAAAAAGCTGTATGATGTAGCATCACTGACGAGACCTACAAGGAGGAAACAGCTGTATGATGTAACATCACTGACGAGACCTAGAAGGAGGAAACAGCTGTATGATGTAGCATCACTGACGAGACTTAGAAGGAGGAAACAGCTGTATGATGTAGCATCACTGACGAGACCTAGAAAGAGGAAACAGCTGTATGATGTAGCATCACTGATGAGACCTAGAAGGACGAAACAGTTGTATGATGTAGCATCACTGACGAAACCTACAAGGACGAAACAGCTGTATGATGTAGCATCACTGACGAGTCTTAGAAGGAGGAAACAGCTGTATGATGTAGCATCACTGACGAGGCCTAGAATGACGACACAGCTGAATGATGTAGCATCACTGACGAGCACCAGAAGGAGGAAAAAGCTGTATGATGTATCATCACTGACGAGGCCTAGAAGGAGGAAAAAACTGAATGATGTAGCATCACTGGCGAGTCTTAGAAGGACGAAACAGCTATATGGTGTAGCATCACTGACGAGTCCTAGAAGGACGAAACAGCTGTATGGTGTAGCATCACTGACGAGTCCTAGAAGGACGAAACAGCTATATGGTGTAGCATCACTGACGAGTCCTAGAAGGAAGAAACAGCTGTATGATGTAGCATCACTGACGAGACCTACAAGCTGACATCACTGAAACAGGACTGTATGGTGTACCATCACAGAAGAGTCCTAGAAGGACGAAACAGCTGTATGGTGTAGCATCACTGACGAGTCCTAGAAGGAAGAAACAGCTGTATGATGTAGCATCACTGACGAGACCTACATGGACGAAACAGCTGTATGATGTAGCATCACTGACGAGACCTACAAGGAAGAAACAGCTGTATGATGTAGCATCACTGACGAGACCTAGAAGGAGGAAAAAACTGTATGATGTAGCATCACTGGCGAGTCTTAGAAGGACGAAACAGCTGTATGATGTAGCATCACTGACGAGACCTACAAGGACGAAACAGCTGTATGATGTAGCATCACTGACGAGACCTACCAGGACGAAACAGCTGTATGATGTAGCATCACTGACGAGACCTACAAGGACGAAACAGCTGTATGATGTAGCATCACTGACGAAACCTACAAGGACGAAACAACTGTATGATGTAGCATCACTGACGAGACAGCTGTATGATGTAACATCACTGACGAGACCTAGAAGGAGGAAACAGCTGTATGATGTACCATCACTGGCGAGCACCAGAAGGAGGAAAAAGCTGTATGATGTATCATCACTGACGAGGCCTAGAAGGAGGAAAAAATTGTATGATGTAGCATCACTGGCGAGTCTTAGAAGGACGAAACAGCTATATGGTGTAGCATCACTGACGAGTCCTAGAAGGACGAAACAGCTGTATGGTGTAGCATCACTGACGAGTCTTAGAAGGACGAAACAGCTATATGGTGTAGCATCACTGACGAGTCCTAGAAGGAAGAAACAGCTGTATGATGTAGCATCACTGACGATACCTACAAGGACGAAACAGCTGTATGATGTAGCATCACTGACGAGACCTAGAAGGAGGAAACAACTGTATGATGTAGCATCACTGGCGAGTCTAAGAAGGACGAAACAGCTATATGGTGTAGCATCACTGACGAGTCCTAGAAGGACGGAACAGCTGTATGATGTAGCATCACTGACGAGACCTACAAGGACGAAACAGCTGTATGATGTAGCATCACTGACGAGACCTACCAGGACGAAACAGCTGTATGATGTAGCATCACTGACGAGACCTACAAGAACGAAATAGCTGTATGATGTAGCATCACTGACGAGTACTAGAAGGACGGAACAGCTGTATGGTGTAGCATCACTGACGAGACCTAGAAGGACGGAACAGCTGTATGATGTAGCATCACTGACGAGACCTAGAAGGACGGAACGGTTGTATGATGTAACATCACTGACGAGTACTAGAAGGACGGAACAGCTGTATGGTGTAGCATCACTGACGAGACCTAGAAGGACGGAACAGCTGTATGATACAGTTTGCTTTATTGGTTGATTTTGTTGTATGTTTCTAACTCTAATGTTTGAATTAAAATGTGCTGCTACTCATTTGTATGTTACTTGTACAACCATCTTATGTGTTTTGTTGAACCGATGTGAGATATTCTTAAGTAGCAATAATAATCATCATTTAAGTATATCTCACAATTTTTAAATCATTCCAGTAGAAAACCTTTAATACGTAGTTTATTCGTAAACCAACATTTTTGTAACATAATTCAGTGTTTGTAACCAAAGATGGCAACATTAAAAAACATGGAAATGTTCGGACGAAGTTGTCTCGCTATGTGTTGTCATTTGACTAATTTAACACTTAATCTAAAGTGAAAGTTGTGTTTGTAGTTATATTTTTTTTATGATTTTTATCTTTATTTCGTTAAAGGGAAATGGTATCGTAAACAAACATGAACAGGTATAATACAAAGTTATGAGATGCAGCGGAGTAGTGGATCAAACCAGACAAATACATGTTAACTTAATAGCAGAAACAAACAGCAGGTTAACTCTTAGTAAAGTTGACGGTTGACGACGTCATCTCATTTGTCACTGAGTTAAGTTGTCAGTTGCATGTATACAGTATACGTAGATTCCATTACAGAAAGCTGATGAAAAACATGGGATGCTTTCTGATGCAATGTCTAGGGGAAAATGAAAGACAAATAATTCTCGAAATTCTATTCCTGTTATTCAAGGCCACTGCTTTATCAATATATCTCGATGTTGAAATCAAAATACATACACGTATACAAAAGATTCATGTAAATACTGAAATATGTCTTAGACAGTAATTTGTAAGGTGAGGAAAAATCAAGCGTATTGTCCTTTTCTTGGAGAAGAAGGCTTTAAGGAAGAGCATAATTCTTTGGCGATCGATTTTTTAAAGACACGAGTAACGTCACTGTGTATCTAAATCGTCCGTTACAAGTTGTTGCCAAGCAATAAATTTGAGTCCTAATTTACTCAGCCAGTTTTGTATCTAGCGCTTTAGTTTATTATCCCGTCGTTTCTTGTCACGTGATAGATTGACTTCACGTGGCATATAATGTGACCGTCATTTGTATTTATAGACTAACGCTAAAATGCTGTATCACTAATTAAATTTTGTGATTCAATTAGCATGTATAAGCCAAAATCTAAGTAATTAGGAGATGAAGTGCGCATTTTACAGCGAAATACATGTTTTTTAATTGTCGATTTCAGTACTCCACTTTCTTAAAGGAACTGGGTGATTTAAATCAGGATCAAGGAAAAAAAAGAAAAAATAAATAATTGATAAGGTTTTACTTCTCCCTTTAGTGCCCTAACGATATTTGAAGATAATTAGATAAACATTCTGCATTGTAATTGTGTTTCCTTATAAGTGTTCCTCATTATTCTTAACACGCAGTAAACTTTTTATCTTTTATCTTTCATAAACAATATAAATTGCTACTTTTGTTCTCCACGTGGGCGATATATAATGTAAGTAGGTTGATAAAGTCCAGTTTGTACTCAAGAGCGATGGACCCAGAAAACATAGAAGACGAACACACAAACAAACAAACAAACAATCATTAACAACGAAACCATTTATACATGGTATACGTGATGTATGAAGATATTTGAACCGGATGTTCATTAATGGAAACAACATATTCTTTAATGTAGAGACATTTTCAGTCATATCAAGACTGAAAATTCCTACGAATTTTGTAAATTCATACTTTCAGCAATGGCGTGATAATATTCGACGTGAATATATATATATATATATATCTTGCTTTACAGAACTACAGAACACAAATTTAAACACCATTGGAAGTGCTTGTTGTTCTATCGCTGTGTTGGAATATCACATTTTTCTTTTTTGATAATCATTAGCCATCTTCGTCTATCATAGCTTCCGGTCTACCATATAGCTGGAAGTATCAAACCTATGAATGCGATCAAACTAAGATACGAGAAATAAGTGTGTTTTTTTTTCTTTGGGGGGATGTAGAGGGTGGGGGATGTGGGGGTGGGGGGGTGTAGAGGGTTTGGGATGTGGGGGGATGTAGAGGGTGGGGGATGTGGGGGGGATGTAGAGGGTGGGGGATGTGGGGGTTGGGGGATGTGGGGGTGTAGAGGGTGGGGGATGTGGGGGGATGTAGAGGGTGGGGGATGTGGAGGGATGTAAAGGGCGGGGGATGTGGGGGAATGTAGAGGGTGGGGGATGTGGGGGGATGTAGAGGGTGGGGGATGAAGAGGGTGGGGGATGTGGTGGGATGAGAGGGTGGGGGATGTAGAGGGTGGGGGTGCAGAGGGTGGGGATGTAGAGGGTGGGGGATGTGGGGGGATGTAGAGGGTGGGGGATGTAGAGGGTGGTTGATGTAGAGGGTGGGGGATATGGGTGGTGGGGGATGTGGGGGGATGTAGAGTGTGGGTGATGTGGGGGGATATAGACGGTGGTTGATGTGGGGAGATGTAAAGGGTGGGGGATGTGGGGGGATGTAGAGGGTGGGGGATGTGGGGGGATGTAGAGGGTGGGGGATGTGGGGGGATGTAGAGGGTGGGGGATGTGGGGGGGATGTAGAGGGTGGGGGATGTAGGGGGATGTAGAGGGTGGGGGATGTGTGGGGGATGTAGAGGGTGGGGGATGTGTGGGGAATGTAGAGGGTGGGGGATGTGGGGGGGTGAAGAGGGTGGGGGATGTGTGGGGGATGTAGAGGGTGGGGGATGTGGGGGGGTGTAGAGGGGGGATGTGGGGGGATGTAGAGGGTGGGGGATGTGGGGGGGGTGTAGAGGGTGGAGGATGTGTTGGTGATGTAGAGGGTGGGGGATGTGGGGGGTGTAGAGGGTGGGGATGTAGAGGGTGGGGGTGTAGAGGGTGAGGGATGTGTAGGGGTGGGGGATGTGGGGGGGGGATGTGGGGGATGTGGGGGATGTAGAGGGTGGGTGTTGAAATATCACATTTTTCTTTTTTGATAATCATTAGCCAATACGTCTATCATAGCTTCCGGTATACCATATAGCTGGAAGTATCAAACCTATGAATGCGATCAAACTAAGATACGAGAAATAAGTGTGTTTTTTTTTTTTTTTTTCTTTGGGGGGGATGTAGAGGGTGGGGGATGTGGGGGGATGTAGAGAGTGGGGGATGTAGAGGGTGGGGGATGTGGGGAGGGATGTAGAGGGTGGGGGATGTAGGGGGGGGGTGGGGTGGGGGGCAGGAGTTGGTTCAGGTTTTGTTTTTGTTTTGTTTTGTTTTTTTAAACACCACACGGTAATAAGATCGTTTCCACGCGGTAACTTGACAAATGAAGTGCTTTGAGTTTTATCACCTCAATAAAAATGAAATGGTTACAACAGTAGACGAACCTCCCAACGGAAAAAAACTATGTCAACCATGTTGTGGAGACAGCTAGCGGGTAAGGGAAAGAACCGTAATTAACTGCAAGAGACAAGAGATGTATGTGTTTCACTCATTTGAACTCCTTCTAAGATGGCTGCTAGCGGGTTAGGGCCTTCCATTCTTTATTCATCTTGACAATTACGAGCGAAACAATATCGGTGTGAGATATGGCTTTATATTTCTTTAATTTCCGAAACGTGTAGTGCTAAATGACATAAAAGTATGACAAAACGCAGGTTTCTAAATGTATGAATTTGTACCTATACATAATTTAGTGTTACTTTGACTAGTGTAGTTTAGATTAGATCTGACAAATAACGTTTCCTTTACGTCAAAGTACAAACTTTACGACGTGTAATGAGGGATCATGTCTTTAATTAGATTGTTATCGGTTTAGCCAACTAGAGTTATGTCCCCTCGTCCATATCTATGAAATCGGTGACGTCTCGTGGCAACAATATCCGCGAAAATAATTCGTTACATATGCTTCAAATAATTTGCATTGAGTAATATTCTCTCACTTTCGGAGGGGGTTGGGGGATCAGGGGGAATGGGGGTTGGGGGGTCGGGAGAAAGGGGGAGGAATACTGACACTTAATGATGACTCGATTGAACATATATTGATTAACGACATGTGACGCTGGAAAATTCTTTATACACAAACACACAGCTATCCTTCATATAATATCCACACTGTATGGAGTTCAATCCTCGATACTTTTTTTGTTCTTTGACAAAGTGTATTTGAATGTTCCTTTTCTAGATAACAATATCCCCGACACATCTATGGATCAAACCAAGGACACCTTCACAATATCGCGAATTTTCGTGCACGATGCCGACAGCGACTGTAACATAAACTAATTGCACTAGGTTTCGAGGGATACACAATGATGAACGAGGAGATTATAGGGAAGTTTCATGGTCATCCTAATGATCTCACTGTAAAATATTTCCTTGTTGATGCGAAATATTATGCCTGGTGGCTCCGTTGTTGTTTACCATGATCTGGCATGGTAACATGACATTACTTATTTGGCTTGGCCAAGATTTTACACGTGTTTTCAGTTAAGTAGGAGACGCTTACCTTGTACTATTTTGGGAGTTTCGGTGTGATATTTCGCTCTACGTCATATTTTGCTCTAGTTTGAATTAAGGTTCTATTGACAAGTTAATTTTTCATTGTTGTATTTTTCTTGACAGAACATTTCATAACGTATAAGATTAAAACGCAATATCAGTGATTTGCTATAGAATTCTGTCTTCTAAAAATGATTTATTACAGCGTTGCTTTGTTTTTGCTGCCTGGTAAATTTATATCTAATGATGACGTCAGATTTATCTTTATCATACGTTTTACAAGCATTTGTCAAAAGTTATTCAACCCTGTATTTTGTGGACAAAGCTAATTTTCAGATCTATGTCATTCTTTACCCTAGTTTTGCAATGGATTTTGTTGAGTGCGGACCTTAAACAATCTCATCCAAGTGGTTGAGTTTTTCTATCGAGTGAATTGTTATATTGCTTCAGCACTGTTATGTATCGTTGTCAGCTTAACTAATCGCACAATCATCGATGTGGAATGTTTGAAATATTAACGAGGCTTTTCAATCTTGACAATTAAATGAAGTGAAAATGCGGCCTTAATTTCAGAATCAGTGTGGGTTTGTGTTGCTTTACAATACCGAATTATTTCCGGGAAACAAAATTGAAAAGCACAATTTTACCATCTAAGAAATATTTACAACACACAGCTTCAGGTGTCACGCTGATCTTAATATGTGAAACAAGGATCAACATCATACAGCTTTAGTAAAAGTATATGGTTACGTAATCTTACGGATTACATCAATAATAATTCATATGGAATGAAATACAATGTCATTTAGTAATAACCTGTATATTTCCTTGTTCTCTCCCGCTACATGTTTGTAGCTAATGATTCAAAGTCATTGAATGCCTTTTCTCAAGATCGGTTGATAGCTTAAGAAGGTCATTATATTCAGGGAAACACCAACAAAATTTCATATAGAAATTGATCGATTTGTATTTATGCCAAATCGCTTGGTACCTGACTTTTCTCGTCTACTTCATACAATGGAATGACATCCTACCTCGTGTCAAATTATTGCGTCTTCCTTGGCCTTATTGCCTTAACAGATGAGTGGTTTCAAACATCATTGTAATCTAACAGTACTGTTCTGATATCTTGATATCGTACGAATCTTCTGTTAAAACTTGGACTACATGAACAAAGTCAAACGCTCTATACACCAAACCTAGCAGATGTTTGTGTCAAATGAAAACTGCTCGAAGGATGATCCATATTTTTGATTGCATGAGTAAAAAGCCACAGGATTGCGCGGTAGAATTTATTGGTAAAAGCGATTGACTCTGCTTGTGGTGCAGCTCATTTGAAACATTTCAGTACATCTCAGTCTAGAGATTTGTCAGTTTCTCTTTATTCTATAGCCGATGATGTTGCTGTAAACGATAGCGTCTTGATTCTTGATTCCGTAAATCCATACAAGTGAATGGCAGGTCTAATACTTTAGAATAAGATAAAGTAGAGTCAAGCAATGAATTAAATTTCATAAGGATATGATTTTGGTAATGTGTAACTATTGTTGCCTTGAAAATTATTTTTCTCTGATAATGACTGTAGAGTTTGTAATACTCGCGGTAATATAATTTCGCTATATCCGCGATCTGTAAAGATAGTTTAGGTTAAAAATTAATAAACAAGGCTGATTTTTAAAAAATTTGAATGGACTTCTTGTAAAAGTTAATGTTTAAATTTGACATTTGTATTATTTCATATGATTTAGGCGAGTTATAAAAAAGTTTGCTTCAGCACAAAATCTATGCATGAGCATGAGAATGGTTTCATGAATACGGGCCCTGAACATAGATATGCGCAGAATTTGATACTCGGGAACTAGTCACAAATATTAGCTCCCACAAAACAATACTGTACAATGATGGCTGAAGAGGTGTGCTTTTAGCTGATAAGACAATATAAACGGTGTCAACAATCTTTACAACGATCAATAGAATACAGAAACATTCTCGTTGGAATCTAGGTAATACTGATAAGTATTTCATCAGTATAAGTTAAAGTCGCTTAGGTAAAATTTAAAAAAAATGGTTTGAGTTTTAAAGCTTACCAAATGAACCTCTTGGGATCTACCACGCTGTGATGCTAAACGTAGAACATTCAGTTTGTTTTGTAACGACACAAGTGTTCCTTTTGTTCCTGTCAAATTACATACATAACAATCGTACTGGTGACAGGGCTTGCGAGGAAGTTGCCTGTTTTTATAACTCATTGTTCTCTATATTTCAGAGAAATCATGTTTGTAATATCACTTCAACTACTGTAAACGACAATTCGAGGCATGCATATTTTTTCCGTCTTGGCATCACTATCCAGTTGCTCCTAAGGTTTCAAAATTTCGGCCCTTAGAGCCTTGGAAAGACAAAAGGACAATTGATGCAGTCTAATTCATTGTTTAGCTCTGCTGCAAATATGCAGTTTTTGTATAACCCTTGAGATTGCGTGTGGTAGGCACTTCTGGTGTACTTAAAGTAACTGGGGTTTGCGTAACCTGCAAGCCAAGATTTAATTCATTCGAATAGAGGCACGGTTCAGAATATACACAAATACTTGACATAATCAGATATATGAATATTAAATCATCGGGATAATACACCTCCATATGTCGATTTTGACATTTTGTTTTTTAAGTTAATTTGGTTTGTTGCGACAATGTTAACACCATCAGTTGGTGATGAAGGTGTGTGTCTATCCAGAAACGGAAAATTCACAACAGGAAAATTGAAATCATCACGCTTATCGTTAAGCTTGGTGGAAAGCTGTCTATGTTGGTTTCAATGAAGGAAAAGATCGAGATAAGCGGCTAATGTGGAAGAGTCTGTCATGCCCTTGATTTCCAAAAAAAGGGACGTGGTCAAAATCTCTTGTTATTTAAAAACAAGACATCATCAATATATCTGAAATGAAAAAAATAGGACCATGCAAGATTCCTGTGACCAGTTTTGATAAGCTCTTCGATAAATTCAACAAAAAGAAGTCAATAATCAGGCAGACGCAGTTAGTTTCCATAGGTATGCCAATAGTCTGTTGGAATGTCTTGCCAACAGACTCAAGAAAGATATTGTCAACCGGAAACT